TTAACAATAGTACATAGTAATCAAAAAGCTTAAAAAATGTTTCTTTTTAAAAAAACATTTTGTATTCTCTTTCCTGAGGCCATCTATTCATATTTACACTGTTATGCTACGAGTTTCCTCGTAGCTGTACAAATATGGCAAGTAATGAAGGGACGAGATAACTCTTAGTTAGGCGTCCTGGGCAAGTAAACAACCTACAAGATATCTCGTAGTTGGCAGTCAACGTGTTAAATATCAAATCATTTTTATGAAAATAATGGCTGATTTTATTATGCTATATTTTAACATATAGAGAAATAAATATTTATTATTCCATTAATCTATCTCTATCTCTCGAAAATTTAACTATCACTCTATATATTGATGGAATGCATGAAGTTAATACCACAACATTAGTTTCCAATAATTCTGATTACAGATCAGCTTTTTTTTGAAGAGTGTAGAAATGCTTTTATGTTTATAAAAAGAGTTTTGGCGGTTAACATCACTAAAATAGTAATTAAGAAATAGGGAGCTAACTTAACTATACTTAACATTACAACCGATTAGTTCAATTGATATCTTTTGATGAGTATTGGAATTCCTCACGGAAAAAATTTGTCTTTTTAAAAAACTAAAAAAAAATAAAAGAAAATTAATATTAAGCTCGAATAGTTCTAAATAGACCATTTAATTCCTTTCAATGAATTCTAAAATTCCTGATAAATAAGAAATATTAGATCCCAAGAGTTATTTAAAAAATCGCCATTAAAAGTTGCACAACTGACAGTCTTCGACGTCAAATAGCTTTCTACTTCAACTGGTTGGATGAATAAATATATTTTTTTAGGTTCCAAGAGTTTCCTAATGACATTTTTAGAGTATTCTGAAAATTCTAAGATATATTGGCCGTGATCGATTTGTAAATGCTAATGGAAAAGTTATTCTACATCCTTTTATTATTTTGAAATTTCATAACAGAAAAATGAGTCTCAAAGGTGAAGAGAATAAAGAATGTCTTTTTGCTGTTGTAAGTGATCTATTAATGGAAGTATGTCAATGAGAAGTGCATAGATTTAAATGATTCTTATTTTCATATATTATGATTCTTATTTTGACTAATATTGTTTATGAATAAATATATCAATAGTTCATATATAATACTTCCAACGGCCATTATTTTCTGAGTAATTTAATATCTCTCACAATTTTTTATCAAATCTAAATTTTTAATTCGCAGTGTACCATTATACTGTTAATTAAATTAACAGATCGTTTAATTAAATTAATCAAATTTAAAGAATTAAGTATATATTCTATTTAAGAAAATCAGTAAAAAAGGATACTGAGATCAAAATCTGCCTATAAAGCCTATAAATGTATGAAATCGGTCTATCTTAATATTTTTGGGTCTCTTGAACTCGAATATGAAGCTTAAAATTATTTAAAACCTGGGGAACTTTACGAAAATATAGGCTTTTCTATAGGAAAGTCTCATTTGGCAGCAAATATTTTATATCTTTGAATTTAATAGATGGTTCTTAATCACCTGTCGTATTTTTGCAGTTCTTACTAACTGAAAGGCTACTGTTTTTGCTGTCACATAACCTCAAAAAATTAAAACATTATTTTTTTGCGATAAAAGAGTGATATTACATCACAAGTACATCATGATTACATTACGAATAACAACATGTGTAAGAATGTGTATGTGTTGTGTATGGGGCCCACACGCAAGTTTCTGCTGTCAGTATTAGCTTTAGGCATAATACGCTGCTGGGAAATTGCTGAATCGGGATTTGTATTTCTTCTGTTTTATAGCATTCAATTTGTTTTGTTAAGTTATATATTAGTGTCTGTCATGTCAAACGTTGAATATACATATTTTTGAATCTGTCTCTTTCATTTATTCATTGGAAATCAGCTCCTCTCTAGAGCAATAGTTTTTCTTTTTTATTTCCTTTCCTCTAATCTTATCTCATATATTAGTATATATATCATATTTATAAATCTTCTACTGATTCATCTGACTGTAGATTGAAATAAAAGACATCATCCTCATGAATTCCTGGTTTATTGACGCTATCTCGGAATCTCGCATAGCTAAAACAATTATCAATTATAACTAAATCTCGCGCACTATATCACCACAGTGAGAGAAAAAATATATGTGCGAGATATTACAGCGAACAATGAAAAAAAAAAATTAAAGAAAACAACGTGAATCGTGAAAACAAAGCATAAAAATATAAAAATGTTGGAATGGAATTTTGGTAAATGGCTATCATAATATGTATCTCTTTCTTTTTCCCATTATCTCAAAAACATCAATAAAAAAGACTTATTGTTCATAGTTACTATTCAAAAATATTTATTGCAAACCGAAGTTTTCCTATAGAAAAACTGCATTTGTATAAAATTTCCTAGATTTTAACCAATTTTATTTTCAAAATTAGCAAACCCAAAAATATAAAAATAGACCGACTTCATATATTATCCTTACAAGAAAATGTTGACTCTTCTTCCTTTTTATTCTTTAGAAGATCTCAAAGAAAGGATAAAAATTCTAAAATATCAAATTACGAATAATCAAAACTACTCAAAGAAGAAATACAGAACCTAAAATTAGATATAATGGTATCCGATAATGTATCGGGAATTAACTCTGCTTACAGCAAGCTGTATAAAAAATTCAAAATTTCATCTTGTTCCCCAATTTCGTAATCTTCCGATTAGTGCAGTCTCGTCGATAGTGTGCGTGAGGCAGATTTAATGGAAGAAAAATAAATAAATAAATACAAAAAACCGTAAACATCAATCCACGATGCGCGTGACAAAGAATGTATATCGAATACATACATATACAGGATCCTCAAAAAGTCGGGGAACGCTAAAATATTACGAAAAATATGAAAGATACGAAAAAATGTTTGATACAAAAGTTGTAGGACTTAAAAAGATCTATTTAGTAGTCATATCAGTTTGACCATAGGTGGCGTTGCTAAGGTCATATGAAGGTCAACTTTGTTTTTTTAAATGGAATTCCCTATCTTTTATTAGAAATTTTTGTAGCTTATCTCGAGAGCTTTCCAAAACACTATAATGAAGTCATTTTTATTAAGTTCTTTCCGAGTTATGACGCTTGAAAGTTACAGTACCGCCGGCATTAGCATTATCCAAAGTGTACCGCGGAGGTAGCACGGTCGAATTTACACCTCGCGTGATTGTGTGTGTACGTGTGTGTGTGTGTGTGTGTGTGTGTGTGTCACTACAGAAATCAGGACCCTACGGTTCGTCACTTCCGCAGTATTTTAAGACTCTAAACCCTCTCCGTTGTGTGTGTGCGTGTGTGCGCGCGCGCGTATGTGTGTATGTGTGTGTGTGTGTGTGTGCGTGTGTGTGTAGGTAGATAGGTAACATTTTTCAAGCTATTGTTTTTTACTTTTTCAATTAATCAAATGTTCAAAATGTCTTCCTTCTACTGTTTGGCAATGAGCTAACGTTCATAGAAACTATTGATCACATGGCTTATTTGTTCTAAAGTGATCAGAGATGTTTCCTGCATTATTCGATTCTTCAGGTCTTCCAAATTACATGGTTTCGTCACATAAACCTTACTTTTGATGTGTCCCCAGAAAAAGAAATCAAGAGGAGATAGATCAGGTGATCTAGCAGGCCACTCAATGACATCTCTCCTACCTATCCATCGATTAGGAAAAGAACGGTTTAAAAATTTTCGAACTCGCAAAATGAGGTCCTGCTCCATCTTGCTGGAACCAAACGTTTTGCATGTTTGCGTCAAATAAATTTTCAATTTCAGAAATGATATGATCTCGCAATAAATTTTCATATTTTTCAGCATTTAAATCACCATCCATGAAAAATGGGCTTATAATACCGCGACTACAGATTCCTGTCCAAATATTCAATTTTTGTGGATATTGTGTGCGAAGATCACTTATCCAATGTGAATTTTCGTCACTCTAATATCTACAATTGTGGCGATTAACAGTATCATTTATTTGAAATGTAGCTTCATCAGGAAAAATAACAAAATTCAAAAAGTTAGCGTGATCATCACACCGATGCATCAGTTCTTCACAAAACTGAATTCTTCTATCAAAACCATCTTCCTTAAGTTCTTGAGCGATAACAATTTTATACGAATAATATTTATGCTTTTTTAAAATGTTAGAAACGCTGCCTTTACTGATATCATGAGCTTGTGCTGTTTTTGATACGGACAAATGAGGATTTTCCTGAAATGATTGGAGAACATCCAAAGTTTTATCATCATTAATTGCGGATTTTGGTCTTACAGTTAAGGACCGCTGCGAGATCGGTCCTTAACTGTTCCCGTTTCAAAAAAACGAGTCACTGTCCTGCAAACGGTGGATTTAGAAATAGGATTGAGATCAGGATATGTAACATTGAATAGATCAGCTACTTCTTGATATGATCTAATACGGTCACTAAATCCTCGATAAATAAGTAGCAATATTTTTTCTTTTTTAGTCAACATTTTTCAAAGAAAAATGTGATATTATAATCGGAAAAAGAAACAAAAGAGACAAAGAGCGAGATACGAGCGAGCGCAACTCGTTTTTAGAATATGTGGACCGAGAAGCATCTCTGATCGTACCTCCGCGCGGTACACTTTGGGTAATGCTAATGCCGGCGGTAACTTTCAAGCGTTATAACTCGGAAAGAACATAATAAAAAATGATTTCATTATAGTGTTTTGGAAAGCTCTCGAGATAAGTTACAAAAATTTCCAATAAAAAATAGAGGATTCTATTTAAAAAAACAAAGACCTTCATATGATCTTAGCAATGCCACCTATGGTCAAACTGATATGACTACTAAATAGATCTTTTTAAGCACTGTAACTTTTGTATCAAACATTTTTTCATATCTTTCATATTTTTCGAAATATTTTAGCGTTCCCGAACTTTTTGAGGACCCTGTATATATATATATATATATATATATATATGTGTGTACGTGTATGTATACGTTACCTTCTTTTATAAGCTGGCTACAGGTGTGCTGAACACTCGGTGGACTAGGTTCGCCGCTGCTGGTTGAGTCCGTGCGATCCCTGCTCTTCTCATTGCTGTTATAGCCCTCGAAGGGATTGGTCATGGCGATTAGGGAGTTTACGATTTCCGGTGTCCTTGGCGTAACCTCGGCCGCCGCGACACCGAGAAGACCTGCGGCAGCCCCAGCCGTCGGGCTGGGATTCACGTTCACATTCAGATTGTACATGACGATGGTGGTGGTCGTGGCGATGGTGTTATCCGTGGTGGGGCTCTCACCATTTAAATCTGGTAACACACACGAGAACGCATCGCTCGCATGAATCAATGGGCTAATTAAGCCTAAAAGCACGCTAAATATAATTGAGCGTTTCGAAGACGCGCAGCGGGCTTCTAATTCGTTTCTCCCTCGCTCCTTCTACACCCTCTCCGACTTTATCTTGAAAATCACGTGAAATATCGTACGAAGTGTTCTTTCCAATTTTTTTTACTTTTCTTCTTCTTATTTCTTTAATTATACTAACAATATCAATCGGAACAACTCAAGTCCAGTTAATCATTTATGCGGCATATTTTTTTTTATTTGACAGATTTCTGTAAAATCATACATTTCCGTATATGTTTTTTAGATCGCTGATTATAAATCTGAAGTCAGATTTCACAAATTCAAAATGACCAATCCAATATAACTGCTATATAGAGGTATATTAGTATAAGTCTGAGCAAATGTAAATCAGATATATGATATAAAGATTTTTCATATTATTAATTATGATTTTCTTATCAGATTTATAAAATTTATTTAAATATCTGCTTATAAAAAAATCTAGCATGCGAAAAATTTTGGAAAAAACATATTTTGATATGTAAAGAATATTCCGTAAAATTTTCAGCCTCTTAAATTACTTAAATTAATCTTAAATACTTTACAAGAAATTAATTTTTTAATCGCTTTTTCTAACTTTGTTTATAAATAACTAAATATAAAGAATCGATTATAAAAGCCGTAAGAAATACATAAAGTAAATATTAATATATCAAAAAAATATAAGATCATATTTATTTTCACTAAACTGCAAATAGTATCGTAAAAATGAAAAAGAAAAGATACGTAGGCAGTCTGAAAATTTTTTGACCTAACAATGAAAGAAAATATTTTTTACCGTGAAATATGTTTTATTTTTCAATATAACTTTCTGAAACTTGAATACATTTATTCCAACGTTTTTCTAATAATACAATACCATTATTAAAATGTGATTCCGGAAGGTGTGCAAAATATCCATCTACGGCTGCAATAGCTTCGTCATTTGATGTAAAACGCTTTCCAGCCAGGAATTTTTTCAGGTTTGGAAATAGATAATAGTCAGAGGGAGCCAAATCTGGTGAATATGCTGGATGTTCAAGCAATTCGTACTTTAATTCGTTGAATTTTGCCATTATCAAAACTCTTGTGTGAACACGTGCATTGTCTTGATGGAAAACGATTCTTTTCTTCTTTAAAGCAAGTCTTTTCTCACAAATTTTTGCATCCAATAGATCCAAAAAGTTACAATAATATTCAGAGTTAATTGTTTTACCTTTCTGAAGATAATCGATCAACAAAACACCTTTGTAATCCTAAAAAATTGTTGTCATAACCTTTCCTGCTGATGGAACCATCTTTGCCTTCTTTGGTGCACTTCCATCGGCTTCAATCCATTGTTTCGACTGTTCTTTTCGCTCTGGTGTATAGTGGTGGATCCAAGTTTCATCAACAGTTATGAAACGACGCTTGAAATCCATTTTATTTTGCTTAAAACAATCCAAACACGCTTGAGAAATACGCATTCGAATGCGTTTTTGGTTAATTGTTAGCAAATGCAGTACCCATCTTGCACAAAGCTTTTTCATATGTAATTCTTCATGCAAAATATTTCCAATTCGTTCTTTTGAGATGCCTATGGCCTCAGCTATTTCACGCATTTTCACTCGTCGATCATCTAACACCATATCATGGACTTGTTGAATGTTTTGTGGTGTTGTAGCAGTTTTTGGATGACCTTCGCGTGGATCATCTTCGAGGCTTGTATGATCATTGTATTTAAAAAGAGCAGCCCATTTCTCCACAGTGGAAAGTGAAGGTGATGCATCCTGATACACTTTTAACAATCTCGGATGAATTTCTATTGGTGTTAAACCATCCAAAACAAAGAATTTAATCACTGTACGATATTCAATTTTTTCCATTTTAAAAAAGACAATGACACGTCAATATTAAACTGGTGCTACTACTCGAATGACTTGACATATCGAAATAAAATTTTACATGGGTTTATATCAGAGATGCCACTTTCCAATACAATTATAGTTTGACAGTTTCTAATGCCATCTATGTGTCAGGCCGAGAAGTTTCCAGACTGCCCTCTAGTAAATAAATATACTTCACTACCACACACACATAAAGGATTAAATAAATTCATTCTCGTATTTAAGGGTGAACTTTCTGGCAAACAAAATTCGCAACAAGATCATAATAAGATCTTATTAAAAGGATAAAATTATCTGTTTTAATGTTTTGAGCAGATTTTTCGATAACATTCTCGAGGATATACCTGTAAATTAAGAAAAAACAGTAACTATAAAAAAGATTCAATCGGAATATTAGGTTGTTCGGAAAGTTCGTTTCAAATTTTTTATATAAATTCAGAGCGCAATATTTTTACAGAAAGAGAAATTTTATTGAAACAAATATATACCGTTTTGTTTAACGACTTTGTCTCACCTTTCAGAAAGCTGTATGATGCCTTTATTCCAAAAAGATTTCCTGCTGACGAAGAATCGAGGTGATCGACGAAATCGATCAAGGTGATTTTTAAGAACTTCAAAGATTCGAATGTCTTGTCCCGAAAAAATATTTTCAAGGAAAGAAATAAGTAGTAGCCAGATGGGGCAAGGAAGAATACAGAGGATGAGGAAAAACATCTCATTCAAAATCTAACAGCTTCCTACAGATAGACATTGCGACCTGAGGTTTGGCATTATCATGATGGAAGACAAGTTCATGTCTGTTGGCCAGTTCAGAGCATTTCCGTGCAATGGCAGCCTTCAGCTTGTTGAGCAGAAGGCTATACCTCGCTTTGATAGTTTCGTTCGGCTAAAGAAACTTGTAATACACTACGCCTTTAAAATTGGACCAGGTGTTCAGAAGAACTTTTTTTGGGTAAAGCTCTGGCTTGGTCACTGCGTAGACGTACTGCTGATTCTCCATGATCTCTTGCGGCTAATAGAATCCAATTTTCACCGCCTGTTATGATCCTCTTCAAAAAATCTTCAAAATCCTCTTCCTTTTGATGCTGTTCAAGCAATATATTGTAGATGCTCACACGTTCCACCAGCTGCTATTCACTCATTTCACCCAGACATGCAATGAGAACCCACGCTTCTTCAGATAGTCATGCACGTAAAGACGGACTTGTGCAGAATGTCGACGAGTTTTCTAACGGTCACTTGCGGATTTTCGCGCATCAAGTCTTTACGAAGCGTTTCATCAATCTCCTGAGACTCTAAAATTGAGTTTATTTGATTTGATTTATTAGATAATTTATTAGGTTTATTAGGTTGTTCGGAAAGTTCGGTTTAAATATCATGCACTCTGCATTTCTATGTAATCAATGAGAGCGAGAACGTTCCAGACGATTTTGTACTTGTCAACAAACTTTCCTCTATGAACTCGCCAAAGAAACTTCGTAGACTTTTTTAAGTGCAACTATTTCGTCAAAAATCAATTTGAAAAATGGAGAATCAGAAAGTCCACTTTCATCATGTGATGCTATATTGCTTCAAGCGTGGCTTCACAACTGCACAGACCGTGAATGAAATGTTCTCTATATGGAGATGTCTGTGTCACTCACCAGACAATTCGGAAGTAGTATCGAAAATTTGAAGCTGGCGATTTTAATGTGGAAAATCAAGTTCGCTCTGGCCGGTCTCAGGAGATTGATGAAACGCTTCGTAAAGACTTTTTAGACAATTTTAGAGTTGCATGTAATGAAGAATCAGAGATGAACTTATCGCCCTAACTTTCTCAATAAATAGATAACTAGATTAATTTAATCACAATGTCTTCCTTCGAATTGCAATAATTACTGAAAAAAGTCGAAACATGACCAAAATGTTTGAAGTTTTTAAATAAGTTTATGTAATTAATTATGAAAGTGAAGAGTTATAAAAATAACATTCACACGATTGATTATCTACGTTAACCTTTATTGGCATATAATATTTCACTTTTAATTAAACTTCTGAGAGCTTTGTAGCATTATTTATCTCTTGATAAAATTGTTTTTGATATCTCTTGTTTGTTTAAAAAAAAAGTTCACAATTTAATGAATTATAAAGGTGATTCATTAAATCACATTCAACACATCATCAGCCATATTTGTATCGTCTGATTTACTTAACTCTCCAATCAGAGGTAGGATTTGTGCTCGTATTATGCAAATGGATCAACCTTTTGGTAATTGCAATACCATTATATCATATTCACAATCATGATTCATTAACCGTTTACCCTTGACTAAATTTTGTAGTTCAAATTCTTACATCAGATTTTTGGTCTGACTCAACTTTTATTTAATTTAATTTGACTGTTTGCACAACAAATTTCCGTAATCCCAAGACTTGATTTATCTTTGCTTGATATATTTTCTCAACGTAATTCTCATGATTATTTAATTCTCATAATTCTCATAACTTCATCCTACTCTAAAAACTGCTTAACCAGGAACATCGATAAATTAATTAAATTGAAGAATATATTACATCTAATCGAAAGCCACCCTGATATTTATATTTAGTTTCAACTTTGACGACTACAAGTACTGAATTTTGTTGCATTTAGAAAATTTCATCATACAAATTTCTGCTCACTATGTATGTTTTCTCCGTCGAAGTGATGAGCGCTCTGGTTAAAAATAATTAAAATAATTTATTTGCAACACAAACGCATTATTATCCTTCGCAAATTCCCTATCGGTTGTGCTTTATCCATTGTATTATAAATTACTGGACATACCCGATGAGCATACGCGCGCGTATATTCAGTGACGTAAATATCTCGATAATTTGCAAAACAGAATCGCAACTTTTTAGATAACGACGGCTGTCGTATCAAGTATTATTCATTTCGATAACAAGCACACGAAACGGAAGGATTCCTAGCTCTCCTCGAATATCAGTAACAATGAGACGATGCGCAACAACGACCTCTCCCTTTCCCTCTCCTTCTCATTCTCTCTCTCTCTCTCTCTCTCTCTCTCTCTTTTTCTCCCTCCCTCTCTCTCACACGTGTGCCTTTTCTCACCTCTCTTTTTTCCTGGGAATTCCAGAGACCGTAATCGAGAATAGAACATCCTTGATTGTGGTTTCGCAGGATTATTTATCTCGAAAAATCTACAGGCCCCACCTTGCCCTCCTCTCTCTTCCTGACTCGTTTAATTACAGGCCACGAACTTCGTCTGAAATTTCGTCCGAAACTTTAAGGATCGCCTTCTCTCTCGGGGAACGAGGAGGATTTTCGCAAGGAGCGTGACGGTACTTGCAACAGTTTTTTGTGAATGCATATGTGTTTCCCGCTGCGCGAGAAACGTAAAAGAAATGCAACTGGGACAATCTAATGTAACACAAACCGCGACTGCGACCTAACATGAGTTACATAATCAATAAGATCAGGACAATCGCAGGTATTCCATATGCATTTTAAACTCGCCAAAGAAATTTGCGATGGAATAAAACAAATCAAATTGTACTGATAAACGACCAGAATTTTCACCAAATAATACGTACTGCATCACTCGATTGTTGTATATATTCTTATTGACGTCGAAATTTATGTTACAGCAATCAATCAGTCATTTCTTCGAATATTTTCTCACTCACTAAATTTCTTAGAGTGGAATTTCAAAACAGTGAAAACTAGAAATATTTCCCTACTCGAAATGATAGTGAAGATCACTTGAAGTCGTAAAAATAAATGTTTTGCTTTTCTGGATGAATTTCTGGATGAATTGGCTCCATAAAAGCAAATGTTTTAATTAATTAGAATTAATATATTGCTGTGACAGTGAAATATTATCAGATTTACTTTATAATTTCGAGTGAAAATAATTACTTAGTGATTCAGAGCGAGAGAATCATTGTGTAAGATTTAAAGAATAATAATAATAAGAAGAATAAGAATAAAAAATAGTAGGATAATAAAGAAGGATAATAAGATTTTGAAAGTTATGAAAATATATTATAAAAATATGTATTATAATTATAAAAGTAATAAAAATAAATTCAAGTTGTAAAAATTTATCACACATATACAACCAAAAAAATAGCCTTAGCACACACAATATACCAAATAATAAAGTTATCAGAATTTTTAATTTTCGGGTAGAATATTAATCTATCATTTAATAATTCAAAAAAGCAGGAATAATGTACTAATTTATCAATCCATCACTGTGATAGATTTATGTCAATGTCCAGAAACAAGTATATAGTTATATCAAGTGTAGTAAAAAGAAATCCATTATTTTTCCAATAGATGGCTTTGGTTATCTGTAGCTCGCGTTGTATAAGTCTGATCGGGTTCCACTAGATGGCGTTAGAAAGATGAGATTTCGTACTAAAAAAACTTTTCTGACAGTTTTGTGATTAGTTGACTCAGTTTTGTTTGA